CTGCCACAGTTAATTCAGAATATTTAGTTAGCTTTCATGGTGGTGAAGTTGGCTTCTACTTTTTTCCCCCTCCTGTTTGGTCTCAGTGGACATGCATGTCAGTTTTGATCCTGGAAGTGAAAATTTAGGGTCCTCCTTATAGTGGGTGTGATATTGTGAAGTATTTGTGTGAGGACTGGTCTTCCTCTTATTTTCTGGTATATCATTCCTGAAATCCTTGGAATCTCCAAAGTAATAAGTGTCTTTTTGTATGCTAATGAGTTGACTGGTGGCTGGCAGCCCCTGGGTAGCTTCAAGAATGAGTCCGATCACCTGAAACACCAAGGAGGATTAGGGGGTGGAACTTTTCAGCCCCACCCAACATCCAGGAAAGGGAGAGGAGCTGAAGATTAAGTCGATCACCAATGGGCAATGGTTTAGTAAATCATACATACGTAATGAAGCTTCCGTATAAACCCAAAAGGACTGGATTCAGAGAGCTTCTGGATAGCTGAACACTTGGAGGTTCCCGGAGGGCTGTGTACCTGAAGAAGGCATGGAAACTCCACACCCCTTCCCACATGCATCGCTCTATGCATCTCTTCATCTATATCCTTGGTAATATCCTTTATAATAAACTGATAAATGCAAATGTTTCCCTGACTTCTGTGAGCTGCTCTAGCATATTAATGCAAACCGAGGAGGGTCACAAGCACAGGTGAAACAACCTGGGGCTTTCTGGGGGCAGTCTTGGGTACTGACCCCTCAACCTGTGGGATCTGACACTATCTCCAGGTAGATAGCGTCAGAATTGAATTGGAGAACACCTAGCTGGTGTTCCCTGTGGGCGGATTGCTTACTTGGTGTATGGGGCATACCTCCCTGTATACCACCTCTGGTGTCAGAAGTGTTGGGAGAATATAGCAGGAAGAAACTGAGTTTGTTTTTCCTACATTCTCAGTAAGAGTGTTGCAACAGCTTGTGAAACGTAAGTTACAAACTTGATTGTGTTGCTTCCATGCTTATAACTGAATTTTTCTTTACATTTACATTTTATTGGCCTTAAATATATACAAGTCTTAACTTTCACATCCATTTTCAAACCCACTCTTTGTAAACTTACGTTCCAAGTACTCTCTTGGTAATTTTCATCATAACTGTTTTTACAGTAGTTATGTATACATTTTTATAATTTTTATTTTTATTTATTTATTTATTTTTAAAGCTAGTCAAGTGGAGCAGTGGGAGTGGAGAAGGAACAAAGGAATCTGTAACTGGTTGTGATCAATTAGTTGTAAACATCACTGCACTTGTACCAACACATTTTCTATGAACACTGTTCATGATCACTACCTTAGTCTGTTTTATAATGATTTACAAAATGATTTCCACAATGCCATCTACAATATAAAACACCATTTAAGGCACCCCATGTCTCAAAGATTCAACTAACTACATTGAAGTTTAAATAATAAAACCCATGATGCTTTTATTATAACAAGGCATCCTATGATATTGTAACTCATATTTCTGAGCCTGGAGTTGTAACATGCATTGACTATATTTTTTAATGTAAAAAACTTTATTCTTTTTTCATAGTTGCCTGACCACAGACTGGGTACATCTCTGGTATATATGGTAAGTTTCAGCTATAATATCTAGACAGATACTTTATTTCTCAGGAGCATTAATTTTTTTCAAGTTTTTACATATATTGTCAGCAGGAAAAGAAATGACAGCCTGCATACTTACTTAGCATCTCATGGAGTAATATTTCTTTACCTCATCACCACCCTATGTGACAATATGTCAGGATTTCCTTTTTCAATACCACCTTCTCGGCCAACATCAAAAGATTATTGGGTCCTTCCCTCTGGGTCTGTTCTAGAAGTATCTCTGGAGAGGAGATGACTTTAGTGAAGTAAAAAGCAGCCCCTCCAAACCACCTTAAACTGTCTTGTTATTTGTTCTAATGAATTCACGTAGTCTTGCTGACAAAATAAGGAGGTATGTATGTAAAGTGAAAGCCTTACAAATAAAATTTTATAATTATTCTATAAAACATTCAAACAAAAATCAAGAGGCAGACATTAAAGACTGATTATGCCAGAGCTGGGAAACAAGGCAGATCCCAGAGCTCCCTGTTGCCCGTGGGCTCCCGCAGGTTACTGGTGGTAATTGGTGCGCTGCTCCTCCTGTGGGGCCTGACTTCCCTGTGCTTCCGCTGCTGCTGCCTGAGTCGCCAGCAAAATGGGGAAGAAGGAGGCCCCCCACCCTACGAAGTGACCGTCATCACTTTCGATCATGACAGCACTCTGCAGAGTACTATCACTTGTGAGTACATCGGCTTGTAACACGGGAGAGGGACCCAGATTTAAATGATGGATTCAGATGGTACGAAGGTACAGCACCCCTGATCGGCTGGTATTGAAGATGCCGGGACTCAGGGTTGTTTTCATTTCCAGAAGCCTCGTGATGCAGTGACCTGGACTGTCACTGATGCTGCATCCTCACACATGTGTCTGGCAGATGACAGAGTGAAAAAAGAAGGGAAATATTGGAGACAACACGGAAGTGTTTTGTAGAAAGAATTACCCAGTTTGCAAATAGTTATTTTGCTAAAAGTTATTTTAAATTCTGAGCATAACCCTCTTTCAAAATGTCTTGGAGTTTGTGAAAGCCTAAATTTTCTGTTTATACTATTTTATATTTTTAAAGAAATTAGTGGTATGTACTTTCAGTTCTTTATTCTTCAAATCTACACTAGATTTTATCACCAACATTACTTTGATGATTCTAGGTCACCTTTCTTTATCCCTTTCTGTTCTATTCTCTATAAATACATTCTGTCCTAAAATTGGGGGAGTAAATACCAGGCAGAACGCAAGGTGGCAAAACACTGTGGCATTTATTTTAAAAAGAGAATAGTTTGAAGTGTTGTTCACGTTTTGTACTTCCCTTTCTCACTGTCGTCTTAGAAAAAAGATAAGACAGAATAAATATTACTAAGGAGTCCATAGTATCGGTGGATTGGTGGGAAGGGATCTAAGTTTGAAAGGGGAAGGGACAGGGTTGTAGGATATGGGAACACAATTTAGATTATTCGAGGATACCACAGAAGACAGGTTCTTCTAGCAGAGCAGCAAGCTGGTTTCCAAACAAGCTCCACAGGTTTTACATAAAATTTGTGGCAGGGAGTGACAATGCATTTGGACACTTGTTAAAAATGAAGGGGCATTAAGCGTCTGGGGATGTCACATTCTCTTTATTATTATTATTATTTAATTTTTTTCTGAGACAGGTCTCACTCTGTTGCCCAGGCAAGAGTGCAGTGGCGTAATCATAGCTCATTGCAACCTCGAACTCCTGGGCTCAAGAGATCCTCCTGCCTCAGCCTCCTGAGTAGCCGGGAGTACAGGGACACACATTGTGCCCAGCTAATTTTTTCTATTTTTGATAGAGACAGTGTCTCGCTCTTGTTCAGGCTGGTCTTGAACTCCTGACCTCAAGCGATCCTCCCACCATAGTCTCTCAGAGTGCTAGGATTACAGGTGTGAGCCAGTGTGCCCAGCCTCACTTTCCCTTTGGTTCCTTACCTCTGTCCTCTCTTTCTCTGCAGCCCTGCAGTCAGTGTTTGGTCCTGCAGCCCGGAGAATCCTGGCTGTAGCCCATTCTCACAGCTCCCCGGGCCAACTGCCCTCCTCTTTGGACACCCTCCCAGGGTATGAGGAAGCTCTTCACATGAGTCGCTTCACAGTAGCAAGGTCTGGGCAGAAAGCACCTGATCTATCCCCTGTCCCTGAAGAAAAACAGCTTCCTCCAATGAAGAAGGAGTCTTCTGGAGTAGAACGCTCTTCAGATTGATGGCAACTGAGATTTTGTAAATGGGAATTGGAGTATCTCCAAAGTCTGTGGGGATCCACAGACAAAAGAAACATTTTCTTTGCTAACTTTCAGAAGTTTTAGGATGGCATCTAAACATCATCCTGTGGAAAAGATGGGTTCTACAATAACTCCTCATTCCCAGCCAGTTGTATTTTCTGATACAGAATGCTCTAATAGGAAACTCTAATTATTTGTCCAGCAGCCAAAATTTGTAACTAACCTCTAGCTATGTTGGATACTACCAAATCTTGGCATCATTGTATCTTGAATTCCTTCAACTGTTGACTACTTATAAAATTTCTTTACCCATAAGGTACTACAAGTTGCTTTTCTCTCTGCCAGCTAATAGATTGTGGTAAACTTGAAGAGAAAGACAGCAATGTCAGCAGAGCCATTGGCTTAGTTCACTGATGCATGCGTCTTTTCTCCTGAGAGAACAGTCAATTTTATACTGAGTGACAACGATCATCTTGGACATCATATAATACGCACCTGGATATCTAAAACCCAGGGGAGGGATTGCTGGTATGGGCTAAGAGAACACAGTATAGTATTGGAGTGTCAAATATCAAAATCTGTCTTTCATTCTTGTCCTGTCTACCAGCAGTATGAAAAACTACGTGCAGTGCAGTAACAGTTCAATTAATTCTTCAGTTCCTCTGCCCTGCAAACAGGTACAGGCGCACACAGCATGCACCTGCGTGCTCATGCACCCTTTTGCAACAATAAAAGGGTAGCGTTGCTTTGCTTCTTTACTCTTCATGGTTCGACCACTTAAAGCCACAACAGGTCTATAGAGACACACACTAGTCTCTCGTGGTGACCCTCACTGCCACCTAGTGGAGCCAAGGTAGAAAATATACTTCCCTTTTGGCATATCTACACAACTTTCCAGTTTTTGGAGCACAAACAAGTGCAGAACTAAGCCTGGATGGGATGCTTCCCATGGCACCGTTCTGCTGTGTAGTGCTAAGCCGCTCACCTAACATACTGCCTCCCAAAGTTCTGCCGTTAGAAAATCAAAGAAGTGAACTGTACTTGGGGGAAAAACTACTCACCTTAGATAAGTCACCGAAATCTTTAAAATACCGTTTTCTCATCTGTAAAATAGGGGATAATAATACTTCACAGGATTGTTGTGAAGATCAGAGAAGCTATTAATAAATATACGTGACATGATTTGCAAAGTATTATGCACATGTGTTTGTTACTATTCTTACTATAGTCATTTAATCCTCACCTACCTGCTATGATTCCACTAGAGTTACGTTCTGGTTTGTCCGTTTGCCAGCCTGCTGTGTTATTGTTAAGTCACACCTGAAGTGGCTTTATTTTATCAATAAATATTTGTTGATTAAGGTAAACAACAAAAGGTGTAAGTGATTCCTCTTAATATGTTCTGTGTAGAGGTAAGGGATATTTGAGAAAACTTGTTGTTTATTAGGCACTTAGCTGCAGTACTCATGGAGGCAATATAGACCAAAGGATTGGATGATCAGTGTAGCACCCTGTTAAATGCATTATCCTAATGCTCACTCAGCCCAGAGGGAAAAAGTTCTGAGCATAACCTGATGGTGATCTGAGTTTATCCTGAGTCATTTATCACATCGCCTTGGGAAACTGTTGAAATGCATGAATTGTTAATAGCAGCTGCGGTGGCCGTGTTGTACCACTGCCAAATGAATCATTTAGTCATCACACATTCCATAAGGTATTCTAGGCCCTTTCATCCTTCAAGACACCACTGACTTGAAGAATTTAAAATGCTGATGGGCATTAAAAGGGCTTGGGGGAAGTCCTGCCTATAAAGTCTTAGTCTAAAGAGAGCTTCCTGCCCCACAGCCGTCTCTAACACCCACCACCTTATGTGTGGAATCACTTCCATCTGTTTTATGCTACTCTGTCCTCTGTCTCTGTCCTATAGTGTGTCTGTTTTCAATCAGCTTCACATGAGCTGCTCCTCAGCCACATGGAGCATGGGGTCTTTCACTCCCATAACCCTCCCATGTGGTCACTAGCTATTAATATTTGCACCCTTTGGCTTCACTTCTTTCTCTATTCAATCTAATATGTGTTAATCATCTCAATCATTTTTATTATTGTTCTCCATTTATTTTAAACTTTGTCATACCTACTCTTCAAACTTTAAACACTGGTGCAGTGGAGCTCACTGATTTCTCCCCAGGGCCTACACTGCTAAGCAGTGCTGGAGAAAATCTCAATTCTTCTGACTGAGGTCAATATGAAGTCACGGTACCCAACACCACCTGAACTATTTAGTATTCCTTCCGGATTTCCTCTAGCAATTTCTCCACTCCTTTTCATAGGTCTTCACATTTCAATGGCTCACTTCATACACTAACTCATTGATTCTAGGCAGGTGACTTGTTATTCTTGCTCAGAGACAGAATCAAAGCCTTCAGGTAACTCCTTGTCCCAAAGCTACAAACCTCTACAGATGTGTACCTAGAGTTTCGTCCTCCATTCTGATCTCATTGAAATAGATGTCCTTTCTTCTCTCTAATAATAATACTTCTAATTGTGCTTTGCATTGCATTGACTCAACAGGTTATTTTGTTCAGCAAGTATGATTTAAGAAATTATGTGCCCAGAACAGTGGAGAGTGTGCAAGACAAACAGGGCCTCTGTTCTTGGCCCTCACAGAGCTTACATTGTAAGGAGGGAAAATAAATTTCTTTTGAAAATCCAAAAATAAAATGATAGCGAACTTTATAAGTGCAAAGAACTAAACAAAGGCTGAGAGAGTATTACCAAAAGTTTAGTACTTGTCCCAGAGGCTGAATGAAGAACAAGGACAAGTAGTTTGAAGAAAAGGAAAGAGAAGTTTATTAATTTGCCAGTGAATGAGGAGGATGGCAGACTCTTGTCTTAAAGTGCCATCAGCCTCCCCTTAAACAGAGATACAGAGCTTTTAAAGGGAGTTTTCAGCTCTGGGCTATTGCTATTTAACTATGGCAACTGTGGTGAAGACTATCTCGTGACCTCTGCCCGACAATTCCATGGAGCCATCTCCTGTGGTACAAAGAACAAAGGATACTCCCCTGCCCCTCTGATAACTGGCCTCAGGAAGGAGTATAGGTTTTAATTCCAAAAAAGGGGGGGGATGGTGGTTAAAGAGACAACTTGTAATACATTTTGCCCTCTTTCAGACCCTTATTTCTGTTACATATTCCCCTCTGTCAATTTTACCCTTCTGTACCTATGGGAGGAGGGGTGACGTAGTCATCGAGCTACTTCCAGCTGAATTAGGGTGATGTTTCAGATTGAAGGTCTTATTTATGCTATTGGAAAGCTTTGGCAGTAGATTTACAAAAATAAAGAATGCGACAGATTACCGGGTGAAAAAGGGCATAAGCAACAACTACAACCATGAGGACTGACAGGGTGAAATGGAGAAGGATACCTGATAAGAGAGATTTTACCCCGCTTGGTATCTAAGACACCGGTAGGTCTGTGGGTCCTTCCTGTCACCTTGTACATAATGTCTGACACAGGGTTGGGCAAGAAAGAAACGTGGGAACTCTGCGTACGGAGCTATCAGTTGCTCCCTGTAGGTGACCTGAGACATCGGCCTCTGCAAATTCAGAAATTATGTACAGGAATACTTGCACTGAATGAGGTTTAGGATGACAAACCCAGCAGTAAGACAGATCAGCAGAAAAGGCGATAGCTCAGGAAATCCTCACTAAGGAGCTGTCTCTCCATCCTAGAGACAGAACAAATAACGAAAGAAAGGTTAGTGAAAATATCAACAATTTTCCTTCTTAAATAGATACTTTAGATTGCTTAAAGGCTGGCCCATCCACTGGGGGTTTGGTTCTCTTCTTCCATGAGACAGCTCTTTACTCTGGTATAACGGACCTGAAGTTTCACTCCCGACAATTTCAGCGAGGTGTGAGTTGTTAGAGGCACCTCATAGGCTCCCTTCCACTTCTCTGCCAATTGTTGTTTGGGTCACCTGGTATTCTTGTTTAACGGGGTGGAGGGGTGCCTCCAACTGGGGCGAGGACCTGAAAGAGGCAAACTCATGCATAGTGGTTAGTATCTGACCCACTCGTTTGACATACTGCTTTACTCTGTTTTCCTTACTCATGATTATATTACCATACTTACCTTGGGGTGCTAGGAAGGGTCTCTCATAAACTATTCCATAGGGGCTTAACTTAAGCCTGCTTCTGTAGGGGCCACCCTTATCTGGAGGAAGACAAGCAGCAACACCCTATCCCACTTTAGATGGGGCTTCTTGCTTTAATTTTGCTACAATTTCCTTTAAAGTATGATTCATTTTCTACATTTTTCCCATAGATTGAGGTCTCTAGGATGCGTGCAATTTCCATTCTAGATGTAGGGCTTTACTTACTTGCTGAGTTACTTCTGATATAAAGGAGGGTCCATTATTACTCTGTATGGAGGAAGGGACCCCATATCTCAGAATGTGTTCCTTCAGAAGGATTCTGGTAACTTCAGACACTCTCTCCATTTCGGTAGGATAAGTCTCTATCCAGCCTGAAAAGGTATCTACTAACATAAGTTTAGACACCTGAGTGAAATCAATTTGCCAATCATTGAAAGGGTGGGTCTCCATATGTTGGGTTCCCTGTGCAGCAGGTTGCTTTTCTGTCTTTGGATTATTTTGAGAACATAGAGAGTAGGTCTGCGTTATTTGTTGTATAGTTTGTTGCAAATGGGGTCCTCTTAAATGAGGTCCAATGAAATCCATTAAGGCATCATGACCATAACGTGTACATTCATTTAGATGCCTCATAAGAGGCCGAACCAAGGCTTCAGGTAGGAGAATGAGTCCATGAGAATTTTGTCTCTACTTAGCTGTGCCATACCTAATGTCAGAGCCCCAGTGTTTAGTTTTATAGGGGGTTTATTTTGATCTAAACCTAGCTGGGGTATCAAGGCCCTGAGGAACAGATCACCTTTAGCAGCCTCCATAGCAGCTTTGCCAGTGGCCTGTCTTGATCCAATTTCAGGTTCTACAAGTCCCTTGAAAACCCTGAGGCAACACAGTCCAGCAGTGCTGTGAGGTCATCCTAGTCTCCAGATCCTGCAATTAAATGTGACTGGGTACCATTCATAGTCACTTGCACAATATCATTAATGGCATGTAGGTCCTGCATGAATCTATACTCACTGGTATGGGGAACTTAAATTCTTTCTGTACATCCTGAGGTCCTGTCAGCCTATATTGCCTTACTCACTTTGGTAGCTGCTTCTTGCAAATGCTAAAATGATGTACAAACGTACTGAGGCCCAGACTTCAAAATGAACTGCTCTGCAGTGACAGCCTCCTGTATGCTTCACCAGGTCATGGTATTCAAAGGTGTCCATCAGGAGCTTGGTGGCACCCTCAGAGATGAGCTTCTGCCACTTCTGGAACAGCTCCTGGTGCTCCCGCTGCTCACCCAGGTCCAGTGTGGCCACCAAAAATGTTGTAGTCATTGGAGTCGGTGGCAACAGGAGCAGTGCTAGCTCTGGCAGCAGCTCCCTGGAACGTGCCTCCTGGGCCCATGGTGATGAATATGCTACTTCCCTGCCTCCTGGCCTCTACTCCTGGCCTGGCTCGTGGAGCGCCAGGCACGGCTGGTGCTGGGGGGCCAGGGCGATGGCCAAGGGGAAGGCCTGGACCCCTCAGGACGCTTCTGCCCATGTGGCTTGGTGGTGGTAGCACTCCTATGTCAATGACAATGTCCATTAATCGAGTCCCCATGTGGGCTCATGTAGGGATATTTGGACTGGAGCCACTAGTGAGGCATGGGGCCCTGGGTTCCCTCTTTCATCATGTGAGTCCTAGACTCAAAAAACCATTTGCTGTCCTAGGAGTTTCTTGTTACCTGAAGCACTTTGCAATTTGGGGCAGTGTTCTTTCCAATGCCATTCCTCTTTACAATGAGCATAACCTATTATACTTTAATCTGAGGTGACTTTTTCCACTCTTTCCTTTTGACTGCCTCAAAGGACACTTGGTTGGCACAGCTAACAGAACACACATAGGTTTCAGTTTCTGTTCTTCCCTAGCATTATATACTCTAAAGGCAATATCAACAAGCGGTGAGGGATTCATGCCAATTGCCCCTTCCACACCCTACAGCTTCCTCCTTATATCTGAAGCACGCTGTCCTATAAAAGTCATATTAACTATGCACACATTTTCAGGGGCCTCTGGATCCACATCTGTATATTTCCAATATGGCTGACAGATGCATTCCAAAAATTCAGAGAGATCTTCAACAGCTTTTTGTTGTAATTCTTGGACCTTGTTTAAACTCTTCTGTCTAAGAACTCTCCTCTGGAGGCCTGCCAGAATGCACTTTCAGTAATGATTTATCCTCACACCATTTGTGCTTGCCTTAGGATCCCAATTTGCGTAAGTCCATAATACCTGCCAGCTGTCCTTGTGCATTCAAGCCCTCTATCTGATATTTCCATAATGGAAATTGCCCTGCCCCAGCTATGGGTGCCCTCTGGCCAAATTGAGTTCTCCTTCAGGTCTTAGAAGGATAGACCATTCCTACTCCCGAGTCATAACCCAGTGGGTGTAGGACTGAAGAATTAGTTCCAGTTACTCCCTCCCTGGCCCCTCTCATGGTCCCAAGATGGCGGCAGTGGCAGCAGGTGCCAGCAGTTGCCCTAGGCCTGGCTCCATGCAGAGCTGCAACCCAGGCTGGCAGGGTGGCTCCAGCAGGGGGAAAGCTGCTCCTGTTAGTGCACTCCATGACCACCACATTGGCGGCACCAGCAGCACAAGCTCAAGCGTAGCTGAGCTGCAGCACCTTCCCCAGTGGGTGGGGAGCTGGCAGCAGGGAAGTGGGTTCATGAGATCCAACCTGGTTAATCCCTCCCCAATTTTATCACACAGCCTTTCAGCCTCTTTATTGTGCAATTTCATGAAAGGTTGTACATATGGGATCTCATCCCATTTACCTGATCTTTGACAAAATAATTCCAGTTGTAAGATAGTATAATAATTTAAGGTTCCATTCAATGGCCACTTCTCCTCCCACTCCAGCACATACATTGGCCATGCACTATTACAACAACATCATTCTCTTTTAGACATAGACTTATATCAATAGCTATAAGTTGGCCATTCAGCCAAGATTCTCCCCCAGGAGCTTTCAGATGGAATAGAAACAGAGCCTCATGTTGACAAACAACAGCGACTAACACAACATGACAAGTATACAATACAGGGAATTCCCAAAGCAAATCTTCTTAATGCTAAGGCCTTACGAAGTGAATGGGAGCCACACAAACAAGAACCAAATTCTCAAACGAAAACCAACGTCTCCTAATCCAAAAGGGAATGAATTTCCCAGGTTCCCTAGTTCTGCTCAACTGTGACTTCCACCCCCAAATGGTGCCTACAAACAAAAGCCCTGCTGCAGGGCTGGAAGGTTCAAAATCCTTCCCCAATGGGTGGAATTAAAGGTCTCAGTGTGCACACTGGGGAACTTACCGATATGGCCAAGGCATTGCCACATTTCCCAAATCTTTTTATTTTTCTTCAACAAGGTTCAGGTTGTGTGGATCTGCATCTAATTCAGGGAGGGAGAGATGGAAGTTTTCCAGAGCTAATCAGGCTCTAGCAGCTGCTGGTGTGGTCCCCTACTCTCTCACCCCAAAAAGACGTTGCTTCTACCAGTGAAGATCCATGGCTTCACCCAGGGCTGCTCCCCACCTCTTCCACCCACAGCAGTAGTTGCGGGGTGCTGTTCCACCAAGGCACCTATAAGCCCACCAAGGGATGCTAAATTTTGTTACTGAAAGTTTGGTACCTGTCCCAGGGCTGAACGAAGAATGAGGACAAGCGGTTTGAGGAAAAAGAAAGAGAAGTTCATTAATTTGCTGGCAAATGAGAGGGATGGTAGACTCTCATCTTAAAGTATCATAATCTTCCCTTTAAGCAGAAATGCAGAGCTTTTAAAGGGAGATTTCAGCTTCGGGCTACTGCTGTTTAACTATAGCATCTCTGGTGAAGACTATCTCCTGACCTCCAGCCGGACAATTTCACTGAGCCATCTTCCGTGGCACAAAGAGCAAAGAATCCTCCCCTGCCCCTCTGATTACTAGCCTTGGGCAAGAATGCATTTTTTAATTCCCAAGAAGAGTGGGGGGTGGTTAAAGAGACAACTGGTAATACATTTTTCCTTTTTGAGGCCCTTACTTCTGTTACAAGAGGGAACAGCAGACAAACAGGGAGTGTAGAACACTTGGGAAAGGTAGAGTGGGGGAAAAACATTTTCAAAGGTGAGAAAAAGCTTCGTGCATTTGAAAAACTAAAAAAAAAGACTAGAAAAAGACTAGAGTAGTAGATTATAGGGAGCAAAGGAGAGAGCCCCAAAACATGAAGTCCAAGAGGGAGAAGGGATATTGGGGGCAAGGAGTCTAGACTATATTTTACACGCATTGAAAAGCCATGCAAAGATTTTAAACAGTAAGTCACTTGATGTAATTTGAATTTTAAGACAACTCTTAATGTTACAGGAGAATGGACTGGAGTAGGACAAGTATGGAAGTAGGAAGACAAGATGGGAGGTATCAGGGAATAGTATGAGATGATTGTGGATAGAGCTAGGTGTGGTGAGAACAGAAGTGGAGATGGAGATAAACATAGGGATTTGAAAGATATATTGGGGATTAGTTCCTTAGGGCTTGTGCTGAATTGGAGTGGGAAATGTATTATATTAAGGGAAAGAAGTGAAGGAAGATTTCCAGATCATTTACCTGAGTTAATACATGGAAAGGGTAGCTATTTATTAGGTTGGGCAAGACTGGAGGAAGAATAGACTTAAAGGCGTGAACTAAAATAAAATCTTAAGCCTCCCCCCTCACTCCCTGACTGACTGAATGGATGCCCTCTTGGCCAAGGGGACTCCAGAAATACCCTGAAGCTGAGATGCTGGCCATGGGAAAGGTCAGACAGGCCTTGTCATGTCTCCTTGCCTTCTTGGAGATATCCTTTGTAACTCATTAACAGGCCTAAGGCAATGCAAGACAAAGCTTAAACCACACCTGCAGGTCATCAATTTACCCAACGGATCACT